AATTGGTCTTGAGCCAGGAGTGGGGAACTTTCCAGGCCTCAAGGCCACATGTGGCCTTCCAGGTCCTTGGGTATAGCCTTTTGACTGAGTCCAAGTTTTACCAAACAAATTCTTTGTCCTGTGAAGTCTGGATTCAGTCAAAGGGCTGTACCTGAGGACCTAGAGGACCACATGTGGCCTCAAGACCTCAAGTTCTCCACCCTTGGTTGACCATTGGTTCTCTAATATGGTTTGAGAACCCTTGGGAGTCCTTGAGACACTTTTAGGATGCCTACAGGGTTGGAACCATTTTCAATAATAATACTAAGATGTTATTTGCTGTTAAAATATTCCTCCCTTTTCCAACTACATATCTGTGTGAGGCTGTATTTTCTTCATATATTTCAACCAAAAAGTAACATCATAACAGAGTGAATGAGAAGTGGATCTAAGACTATGTCTTCTATTAAACTAGACATTAAAGAGATTTGTAAAAAAAAAAAAGCAAAAAATGCTATTCTTTTTACTAAATTTGTTTTGGAAAATATAGTTATTTTTGATAAACAAGTTCACATGTAATGGGTTTTATTGTTATTTGTATTAATTAATAAATATTTAAAAATTTTTATCAGTTTTAATTTCTAATGCAATAGATAGGTAGGTAGGTTGCTAGGTAGAGAGATATGACTTACATAAACAAGAACTCTGGGTTTCTCAGTAATTTTTAAGAGAGTAAAAGGGTGCTGAGACCAAAAAACTTGAGAATGGCTGGAGTAGATGATCTCTGGAAATCCCTTTCACCTCTAAATCATTGTTGTTCTAAATCATTGGCCTCCAAATTTTTGGCCTTCTAAATCAATGGTTCTCTAAATTGTAGGTGCTTGGAGCCTCTCCAACCCATAATCCACGACACATCATTACTGTCATGGATAAGGAAAATTAGTAAGTCATCCACCCACTTGGTTTGGGCCCACCTTAATAGTAAATGGGAGAAGATTCTACCTAAATGAATTAGCCTTGCCGATCTTAATCTCATTGGAATTTCTCCTGCTGGGATAGAGTGGAAAATTCATTGTATCCTGAGTCAGTTTGGCAGGTTTTTGATAAAAAGAAAGTGGCAAGTAGAAAGGCCCTGAGCCTGTGGAAAAGTGCCCGTGGGACTAGAAGGCCTGAAGGCAAACCTCACCTATTTTACAATTTTACCCAGGGCCAGTCCAGGAAGTAGTACGTGCTGGAATGGTTTTCATTCATGCAGAAGTTGAATCAAATTGAAAAGCCTCCAAACCAGAACTGGAATATTATTCTACCTTGTTCCATAGCCATCTCCAGCCCCCAGGGCTGTGAGGGGTAACTGTGAGGTGAGCTGCCCTTTTTTGCTGATGGAATTATTTCAATTCCTTGGGCTTCACTTTCTTTATCTTTTGGGACAAGGAGTATACAATATTCCCAACTTCTGTGAGTGCAGCTGCTCTACTGTAAACACTTGCTCAATGCAAAGCACCCCATCATAATGACATTTGCAGTGTAGTTTGTGGGGAAGGTGGAGGAAGAGAGAGAGGAGGGGAAGAAGGGGGAGAAGGGGAAAAAGGAGAAAAAGGAGGGAGGGGGCCGAGCAGACACAGCCCTGAGGAGAAAACGATGATTGTCTCCTTTTGGTCTCTGCTTTGTTAAACTTGGCCCAGGTGCTGCTTTTAGAGAAGCCCGCCCAGGCCTCCTCACAAACACCTGGGAGGCCAGCCTATCGCCTGTGGCTGTTTAGTAGGTGGGTTAGAAGAATCCAATCTACCAAGTGTCTAACTCTATAATGTATACAATTCTAGTTTTAACTGAGGAAGAAAAACATTTTCTTTCTCTTGGCCTTTATCCTTCTCTCTGTTTGTGTTGGTTTCAGGGCTTCTTTTAGACTATTTTCCCCCTTTATGCTTCTTTTTAACTCTCTAGCAATTATGCGCTGACTGCAGGGCATTCCTCTTCCAAAGCACTGGGCAGCCCCATTTTTATTGTTTGACTTAGCAATAACTGCATTCAGCAGGACTCTCTCTGTCTCTCTGTCCCTTTCTCTCTGTCTCTGTCTGTCTGTGTCTCTGTCCGTCTCTCTCTTTCTGTTTCTTTCTCTCTGTCTCTCTCATTCTCTCTTTCTGTCCGTGTCTCTGTGTCTGTGTCTGTGTCTGTGTCTGTCTGTCTGTCTGTCTGTCTGTCTGTCTGTCTCTCTCTCTCTCACTGTCTCCATCTCCCTAAAGACCAAGTGTGCGTTTCTCACCTGTTCTTGTAAAGAGCAAAGACTTCCAGCAGACTCCATTGCAAGCAGAGAAAGTCAGAGAGGAACCTCAAACGATAGCAGCTTCTGTTTCTCTTGCCCCTTATGCAACTCTCAACTTATGGCAAATAACTCCAGGAGACCATGGTTGTACTTCCCCCTGGGAGAATGTACACCTCCCCTGTATGTACTCTCTTTATCTCTCTCTTTGTCTCTCTTTCTGTCTCTGTCTGTCTGTCCCCCTAATCTAATTATCTAGAAGAGTCAGTCAGGTACAGCAGAAGTGTCAAACATGCCTACAGCCCACAACACTCCCTAGTGAGGCCCAAGCCTGATGAAAATGGAATTCCTGTCTGATTTCAATGTTGATATACTAATAAAAAAAAAGAAATGTATAAACATGTGTGGTTTTCTAAGTCAACATGAGGCCTGTGGGGATCCTTATGTATGGTCTAGAGGTCCTTGTTTCTACTTGAGTTTGATACCACAGAGGTACAAGATATTGAATATATTACACTGGACTTGGAGTCAGGAAGACCTAGATTCGAGTCTCCATTTGAGTCCAGCATTTATCACAGTGCTTGGCACACAGTAACTCCTTAACAAATGCTTGTCTAGGGGCAGCTAAGTGGTGCAGTGGGTGGAACACTGGCCCTGGAGTCAAGGAGGACCTGAGTGATACTTACTAGCTGTGTGACCCTGGGCAAGTCACTTAACCCCAATTGCCTCACAAAAATACATAAACACATGCTTGTGCACTTGACTTGCTCCTGACCCTTACTGTCTATCAGGCCATGGCTTGCTTTATTTGTGAAGTAGAGATGACAATAGGTATACTACTTACTTTCAGGGTTACTGTGAGGCTCAGATAAATGAGAGGATATATGTAAGTCATTTTGCAAACCTTAAAGCATGCAATAAACTCTAGCTTCTTAAAAAATAAATTTTTGCTATATCTCTTTTAAAACCAACCCTATCCTTGTGAAGAGGCCAGGTGGCCTAGTGGATAAAGATCTGGCCTTAAAGTCAAGAAGAGGCACATGCAGGTTCTGCCTGTGACAAATACTGGGTATGTGACCCTGAACAAATCACTTCACTTCTTAGTACCCCAGGCAACTGTTTAAAGCTGTAAGTTAAAGATGAGTTGTTAGTCATCCTGGAGAAGCATTCCTTACATTTATGAAATCCTAAGTACAGAAGAAAAAAGGGAACAAAACCAAATTCTTCTAGTGGTCTTATCTGGCTGTGAATCCTGTGGTCACCTAAAGATCAAAACTGAGCATGCCCTAAAAAAGAGATGCCCAGTGGGTGTACTGAGGCCACAGCACATCCCCAGAGGCAACAGAAAGACAAGAAGTGATGGTAGAAGACGAGATCAGGAAGGGAGGTGGGCTGTTCATTCAGTGCCAGGGACAGCTTGAGTGTCATGCTGGTATTCATGAAATATTAAAAACCCTTGTTTCTGTAACATTGGATAGACACAAAATATGCCCTGGGGAGGGTTTGTGGGAGGACATGTACAAGAATCACTCAGGACAACAACCTGGGGATGAGCTGTAATTTGCGTCGGTGGAAGTAGTACCCCCTTCAATGAATCTGAAAAAGCATTTATTAAGTGCTCACTGTGTGCAGTTAACTTTGCTAAACACTGGGGATACAAAGGTGAGACAGTCAGTCTCTGCCTTCACAGAGCTCATGTTATAGTAGGGAGAGACAGTCCATGTAGAGAAGTGGTGACCAGGAAAAAGTGAAGTCGCAAGGGATGTGAGTGGGGGCATTGGATGTTCAGCGGTTGAAGGGCCCTTTCCAGAAGTAATTCAGGTTTTCATTTGATTACCGTTCTTAGAGCATGAGATGGAGAGATCAGGGGATGGCCTGGCAGCAGGATGGTATGGTTATCTGGCTGGAGTGGGCTGGATGTAATGAGGCCCCACTAATCATTTCAGCTTAGAGGAGGGATGGGCAGTATAATTGGGAGGGTGTAATGTAAAGCTTGGGGGGTTGCATTAAAAAAAAAAGGGATTCCTCCACCCCATATTATTACATCCTTGTCTACTCCTAGCAACGTGCAAACGAACATGTCAGTATTTAACCTTCTGCTGTTTGGTCATTTTTGCATGTTGAATACTCTATTCACCCACAAGTATTGTTGTTTTGTTTGTTTTTTTCTCACCCCAGATGGAAATGCAACAGACAGGAAGCTTCGAGCTGTTCAATTTATTTTTTAAACCTTGGATGGGTTGTTCCTCCTTAGTAGACTTGGTATTCCCTCACACTCTTGGGGGTTCACCACGTGGAGACCTGATCTGCTCTAGGTCTATTGCCAGCTCAGAACCCCCAAACACAAGGGATCCACCAGTCTCCACCTCCCCCAGGAGCAGAGATTCCCAATGTGAATCATTATATCTCACACCAACAAGTTTTTAAAGGAATAATTTTAATTCTTCCTGCTTAGTGAATGTCCTATTATTTTCTTCAACATTTGTTGTTGTTCAGTCATGTCTGACTAGATGCAGGAGTGGTTTGCCATTTCCTTTTCCAACCCATTTTATAGGTGAGAAAACTGAGGCAACCAGGGTCACACAGCTAGTAAGTGTCTGAAGTCAGATTTGAACTCATGAATACGAGTCTTGCTGACTCCAGGCCTAGCACTTTATCCATTTCAGGCCATGCAGCTGCCCATTCTTTGAGATTGAGGTTTACTTTTACAACATGTGTTTTTTTTCTTTTTTAATGGTGTTAACTAATCTCATTTGTTTTTCAGAATATTCCAGTTTTGGAACTTGAACCTAGGTGTTTCTGACTCTGAGCCATCTGTCTATTCATCACAGTATGTTACCTTTAATATATGTGTGTATATATGAATATATGTGGTTAGATATGTAATGTGGCTAACTAGATAGATGAATAGATAGATAGATAGATAGATAGATAGACAGACAGACAGACAGACAGACAGACAGATAGATAGATAGATAGACAGACAGACAGACAGACAGACAGACAGATAGATAGATAGATAGATAGATAGGTAGATAGATAGATAGATAGAAACTGGAATTTGACCTGTCATTTCATTGGTATAGGGAACTTGCAGCTGAAGAAACTCTTTAGACCAATGCAGGTCAGCACTTTCCCAACAACTTATGATCTTAAAGAGTTGCCTTTGAGCACTGAACCATTAAGTGACTAGCCCAGGGTCACTCATGCAGTATGTATCAGAAAGGGGATTTGAACCCCTGTCTTCTTGGCTTTAAGGCCAGTTCTCTATCTTCTATGCCAGGGGTGGGGAACCCATGGCCTCACATGTTTTGTGATGTTTGGATTCAGTCAAAGGGCCACACTTGAGGACCTAGAGGGCCACATGTGGCCTAGAGGCTGTAGGTTCCTCACCCCTGCTCTATGCCATGCTGCCTCTATATAACACGTGCACCCCCCACATGTATGCACATGTGCATACATGTACACATATATACACACATATTACATATGTACATGCACATATCTCCATTACTATGTATTTCTCCCTATTTCAACTTGTATGTATATGGTAATCTTGATAAGTAAAGTGAAGCAGCACCCTTTCCTGGTAGCTGTTATTGCTGAGATAAGATTTTCACCTTTGACTTATTCCTCCTTTGTTCACAATTATCGGATCACTGTCTCTTTCCCTGCTTCATTCAGGGTTGTTTGATAATTGGGTTAATAGATCCTCAATGGATAGGGATAAAGACAGAGACAACAGAGGAAATGGCAATGAATAAGAAGGAGGCACAAACATAAATATGTATCTGGCTTGTAAGAGAATCTTTGGAATGGGCTCTTGGAGCTGTCATCTGGAAGTGTTGCCCAGTGCCTACTGATACATTTTTCTTCTCCAAGCTCTCTATTTTGGGGTCTGCTATAAAACAATAAAATGTTAATTAAAAAGAGCCTTCCTGCTTGAGGCAGCGTGTTATGACAAGTTGTATGGTATTAATGGCAATTCTGTGAAATTTAATTTGAGGCATATTTCTTAAAAGAAAAAAAAAGCTCCAAATCTATTGCATGCTAGTTTTAAATTGGCTCTTGTTATTTAGTTGTTTACAGTCATGTCTGAGTCTTTGTGACCCCATTTGGGGTTTTCTTGGTAAAGATACTAGAGTGGTTTGCTATTTCCTGTTCCAGCTCATTTTACAGATGAGGAAACTGAGGCAAGCAGGGTTAAGTGACTTGCCCAGGGTCACACAGCTAGTAAGTGTCTCAGGTCAGATTTGAACCCTGGACTTTTTGACTGGCACTATGCCACCTAGCTGCCCCTTAAATTAGCTACTGCAGCCAAATGTCTCCTCAGATTTTATTCTCTCATTGTTCTAGCTCTAATGCCCATTTCCCTACCCCCCCATTATTTCCCCCCATGATCAATTTCCTCCTTGCACAAACTACTCCATCTCTGGAAGGCTGGTTTCAGAACACTTGCAGATTGCCAACTAGACATTCCATAATTCTAGGACAGAGGGTAAAAAGCAGAAAACCTTCCAAGTAAACAAGTAATATTCTTAAGCATTTTTCCTCCTTATAGGATAAATTCAACAAGTATTCATTTCAAAAATAGGAATTTGTTCAATTGAACAATGACCAATTAGCTAAATTCAACAGCCTCTTTTTGAGTGCCTACTATGTGTAAAGCCCCAGGTTAGACACTGCTAGAGAGTGACTCATTCCCTGCCCTCAAGATACTCACAATCTACTAAAATCATATCTTTGCTTTGGAGTTAACTTGAGAGGTCACCAAGTTTAACCCCTTAATAAAATGCTAGATTTGCCTATTATATGTATATATCTATATATAGGTATATAGATATGCATATAGATGTGTATGTATATTATATATACATATACATATGCACACACAGTAATATATATTTGTAATTCTGACAACTTGTCATGTTTTTTGGTGACCCTACTTGACTGTCTTCTAACCTCTTTTCACCAGCACCCTTCCCTTTATGTTCAGATTAGTGCTGTTTAGGAATTAAAGATGATCTGTTCTTTCCCATTCATCCTGAAAGGATGATTAATAAATAATTTAGCATTAAGCCCTTTGGAGAGTGCAGAAGTGGTTTATGTCAGCCTCAGAAATCATTATATTCCACATGTTTCCATTAAGGCATGTAGAGCCTGTGAGACCTGGGCATTCGAAGGGCAAAACCTGGGCAGTTGAAGGGCAGATTTGGTCTCAAGGCTCCTGGACACTAACCTTTTACTCTTCTTCAAATGGGGACTGTTTACTGGCAACAGAACTAAGTAGAAAAATAAAAACAACCCGTAACCTTTACATTTTCCCATAGTTATAGATTTTTTTAGGATTGTCTATCGGACCGAGGGAGGTCTGGTACAGGGTTTTCTCTTTTTAGGGTTTAATCTGGTGAGATTCAACTGAAGCTTGCTGTTACTTTTTAATGGTTAAGCCCAGCATCTTTTGTTAGACGGGACAGCATAGGCTAGGAATTTTTCTCTTGATGGTCACTAGATTGGGAGGGATAGGGAACTTTAGATGGTTAAAACCATAAATCTTTATCTCTATTTACATCATTACTGGGAACATGAAAAGGAGAAGGGCATTGGTGGTCCACTATAGACTGTACATAGTCCATAATTGTTTCTATAACTTTAGACAATTCTAGTGTGTGAAATTATTTGGCTGGAAATAGATTGTAGCTCAGAAGTCCAGGAAGTCTTGCAAAGTTTGGAGTAGTAGATGGTTCTCTGAGATCAGGAATGGTCAATCAAGAATTCGCTACCAACAGTTAGAACATGGGGATGTTAGCCTGTTACCAAAATAAAATCTGAGTTAATTCAATGGAATTTAATTCAGTTTAATTCAATTCCATTGAACAAAACCTAATGACTTGACAGGTGCCAAGGACTATGCTAGGTGCTAGATGATTTTTGATAAGATGTCTAGGTAGGTATGGGTGGACCTGGCCCACAAATCCAAGAAATTTTATGACTTTAGCCAGTTTAGAGAGAACCGTGGTTATAGTTAGGTTCTGACATTTCTATCAGAAGCATAAGAAGAGATAAGATGATTCCTAGAATCTCAGAGATCTTCTCATATGTTATGTCAACAGTTCAAAGGTCTGCAAGAGAAGCTGCTAACCAGGAGAGGTACTCAGAGCCTGAGAGTGTAGGTATAGCAGAATGGAAACACACTTGTAGATAGTTGGTGGGAGCCACGTCCACCAATCAGCAACTGTCAATAGAGCTGTGAGATTGGAAGGAAGGAAGGAAGAGTTCAGGGAAGTGATACCCTGGAAGAATCCATCCATGGGGCACAACAGGACCCTGGTTGCCCATTAACCACAGTCTCCACCTGGCAACAGGCTAGATCTTTTTCATCTAGCATCAGGAAAAGATCTGACACCGGTAATTTTTTTTCTTAGTCTTTCCTTTTCCCAGATTGTTAGAAAGGGTATTTGCAGTTTAGAAATTCTGTCATTCTATAGCAAAGGTATTGTTTGTTATTGTTGTTCAGTTGCTTACAACTCTTCGTGATCCCATTTGGGGTTTTCTTGGCAAAGACACTGGAGTGATTTGCCATTTCCTATTTCAACTCATTTTACAGATGAGGAAACTGAGGCAAACAGGGTTAAGTGACTTGCTCTGGGTCATACAGCTAGTAAGTGTCTGAGGTCAGATTTGAACTCATGAAGATAGGTCTTCCTGACTCCTGGCCCAGTGCTCTGTCCACTGAGCCACCAAGCTGTCCTTCTCATAAAAGGGTCACATTTGACTATAGACAGTGGTATATGAAAGTGACAGGGTTTTATTTCTCCTTAGATATAGAACACATGCCATCAGTCATGCAGGGTCTGGCTTACATTTGCTGTTATGCTGGCCTATGGGCAACAGTAGATGGGGAACAAGAAAGCCAGGTCAAAATGTGGGGAAAAAGTAGAGGAGGCAAGAAAAAAAAGTGAGTTAGAAATAGGCCTTTAGTCAAGGACCCAGAAGTACACAGAGATAGATTTAGAACAATCATATAGATTTGGAGGAAGCTCAGAACCCAGGAATCATAATGAAACTAGATAGATGTTAAAATGAACAGTAGGTCATCACCAGGGAAGTGGTCACAGGAGTAGAAGTAGGGTCGTGGATTTATTGTTTAGAGGTCATCAGTACCCATGCTCTCATTTGGGAGTAAAGTGACTTGCCCAGGGTCACATATACCTAAATATGAACTGGAGAGCTGGAGGGGCCCCCAAAGGTCATCTAGTCTAATTCTCTCATTTTACAAATGATGAAACTGGGGCCCAGGGCAATCATGTGATTTGCTCAGAGTTGTATAGGGTTGTATAGTCTCAGACCTGGCATTTGTACCCAAGTCTTCTGATCATTATTCTATGGCAAAGTCTGATTTGAGCCCAGTTCCTGGGACTCTAGGGCAGCTAGGTGGTACAGTGGATAGAGTGCCAGGCATGGAGTCAGGAAGACCTGAGTTCAAATCTGACCTCAGACACTTACTAGCTATGTGATCCTGAACAAGTCACTTAATCACATTTGCCTCAGTTTCCTCATCTGTAAAATGAGCTGGAGAAGGAAAGGGCAAACCACTCCAGTATCTTTGCCAAGAAAACCCAAAATGGGGTCACAAAGAGTTGGATACCACTGAAACAAATGAAAAACAACAACAAAATCTGGGACTCTAAGGTCATTATTCCTTCTATTGTACTGTTTTAACCCACTCACGCATCCAAGATACAAAGATCCTGAAAGTGACGCAAAGTCCATCTCAGACAAGAAGAATCATACTCTTTATTGATTAACTCAAGATTATGATACAAGCTGCTGGAATGAAGGGAGGAAGGAAGCAAGCAAGCATTTATTATATACCTACTACATGCTAGCACCACGTAAATATTATTTCATTTGATCCACACAAGGACTCTTAGGAGGGTAGGTGCTAGTGTTTTTAATCAAGGAAGGACCGAAAGGGAAGAAAGTGATACCTTCTCATAAAAGTGTCATATTAGACTAGGGGCAATGATGTGTCAAGTGACAAGGTTTTACAGTTTTAATAATAATTCATTCGTTATGCCTCCAGAACCACAACCACAGTCAGTCAGAGTGTAGCCTGACGAGAGGAAACATGTGGAATTGTTCCAACTGTGTGACCTTAGGCAAGTCATTTTGATTCTATGGACGTCGGTTTCTTCGCCTGCCTGATGGGATTTAACTAGATCCTAAAAACACTCTTTGGGGTTGACTTGATTCTATGATTCTAATAATTCAGCAACAAGAAAAGCCTAAGGGGGTGCCTCCCAAGAATGATGTTGAGATAGTAAACACAAGAAAAGGGAGAAAGAATATTAAACACTTATATTAATGATACATCACTTATTTACATAACTCCTTTCTCTACAACTGGTACAAGCCAAGTTGCTAGGTGCTGTAGAAATCTCTGTTAGTATCCAAGAGGCAAGTAAGCTCAGATTAAATTAAATGAAATAAAATATTTATTTAAATATTAAAAATTTATTGCAAAAATGAAGAAACAGAGGCCTTCAGAGTCTTACTTTATGGCAAGCACTGGGGACATAAGAATTAAAAAAAGAAAAAGGCCCTGCCCTTAAGAATATTGCCTTGTCTTTTGGAAGAGTTACTACAGCTGCTAGGTGGTCCAGTAGATAGAGTGCTGGGCATAGAATCAGCATGACCTGAGTTCAAATCTAGCCTCCAATCTTGGTAAGTCTCTGACTTAATTTCCTCATCTCTAAAATGGAGATAACAATAACACCTACATCCCAAGGCTGTTGTGAGAAGATGAGATGATAACTGCACATAGTAAGTACTATATAAATGTTAACTATTATGAAGAAGGTGCTTTGTAAATCTTGAAGCAATATATATTTCTTATTATTACTATTGTTGTTGCTATAGTAAGTACTAATGCTATGATTCTGAACGAGAAGATTACATTTTATTTAGTATACTGTACTTGCTAAGGCAAGGAAGTCGACTATTGCATTTTTAAGGGTTAGAATAAAAAGTTGCCTCTACCTATCCTGAGTGCAGGGGAAGTAAACTTCTAATTAACCAGAAAATACCATGTTATGGACATTCTGTAGTCAGTCAAAACATTTATTAAGCATCTGAAATACATCAGGCACTGTGCTAGGTGCTAAAGATACAAAAAAAAAAAGCAAAAGACAGGAGCTCATAGTCTAATGGGGAATATGATAGTGTGGAAAGAACTCTGGACCAGGAATTGGATTCTCTTCTAGGCTTTAACTATTGACTAGCTGTATGATTTAATGAAACACTTCCCTATGTGGTCCTCATTTTCCTCATTTGTACAATAAGTGGGATGGACTAGGTGGTTCCTAAAATCCTTTCCAACTTTAATATTCTGTAGCTAATTAAAGCATTTGTTTAATTATTTGTGAGCTCATAAAAGGGAAATGGTTTCTTCAAATATCCAGTGAAGAAATATTTGAATCTGCCAGCCCCACAATCCCTGACCTGGCTTTCGCTGGCATGTTCATATGACACTTTTACTGAACCCTGCAGAGTGCTCGCTATTAACAGCTATGTTCAGGCAGATAACTGATTAGCAGAGCAGTGTGTAAACATTGGGGATGGGGTGGGAGCTCCCATAGCCTAAGCAAGAAGGTCTTGGTAGGATAACAAAACTAGGCATCCCATTTCTAAGATAGGAAGCATGAAGGATCCTTAGTACACCATCACTTCTCTAAGGCTTTTTCTATTTGGCAATTCTCTGACCTTCTAGAATAGAAAGTTGCGAACTCAAGTTCCTGGCTGTCCCCCAAAACTGATGCTTCAGGGCCATGCTAGCCACTGCCAGACAGTAGCCTCAGGCCCTTTGAACCTTTCTCTGCTGTTCTTTCAGTTGTGTGGAAAAGGCTAAGATGCTAAAATGTTAGGGAGATGGGAGACAAGGTGAGGGGAGGATAACCCTGCTATATATCTCTGCTGTCTCTCCCTTTCCCATTAGGGAAAAAGGCCCATGCATGGAATTACTGACTGTCACCCAGAAGAATACCTGAAGGAACCTGTGACACAATGCTTGAAGGGAATGTGCTTCCTACAAGGCCATGTCTAAGCCATGTGGGAGAAGACGCACAAGATGTCACCTGGCTCTAATTATGCAAGCCTCATTTAGCAATCTGATATCTAGCAAGCTTTCTTCTTCCTCTTTGCCATTTGCTAGATGTCCTAAGTGTTCCTTTAGGAATCTTTCCTGATTTCTCCTCTGTGGATACTTCCTCTGGGAAATAAAGTTAATGAAATTTGAAATTGTTCCTGTTTCAAACCCCAAAGTTAGCAATACACAATGGCCATTTCTTTATTTTTTTTTCTTAATTGATTAGCCTTTTTTTTTTTTTAGGAGTGACCTACTCATTGATTATCACTGTGGATATCTGAGAAGAAAGGAGGCAAATGAAAGCAAGATGAGAAGGGCTACCGGATGGGAAACAGGCCCAAGAGAATTGAAATCATAAAAACAAAAGACTGGCGATCCAGCTTAAATAGCTTCATCATTATTAATTTAGGAATCTTAAAGAGGGTCAGTGACAACATGAAAAGGGCATGTAAAAATTGCAATGGCAAGAACAGAAATCTGCAAGAGAGAAAATATTAGTCAAATGAGTAAATGTTCTCAAGTCCGCTGCAGGAGCTGGTGTTGTTTGAGTGCCCTGACATCTTTGGGGCTGGCCCTGCCATCCATGTCTGTGGGGCATCGGTACCAGGTGACACATCTGGAAGGCAACAAATATTCAGAAGTCCCTGGAGTCAGATGGGGGCAAGGATGTTCTCTGCCTCTAGGCACATGGTGACTCTGTCCCTGAACAAGCCAAGTATATGCAAAACATTAGGGCTTCCGGACATAGGCTTGTAGGTTAGTTGTAATGGAGCCATTGGATGAAACTGTATTCCTTCCATGAAAGGGATGCTCAAGCTCATAGTTAGTCCACTGACTCTAATAGACATGCTTTGACAATGTACTGTCACTGTGGCTAAGAACGCCCAAGTTTTGGGAAATGTACTTTCTGTGTGTTCTGTCACCTACTTTATACACTTTGTCTGCATTAAATGTTTTGACCTCTCAAAAATTTAATTAAGTTAAAAAAGAAACTTGTTTTTTTTTGGGGGGTGGGGTTGCCAAGTTAGGAAAATCATGGTAACTACCCTGTTTATGGCCTTGTCCCCCAATCCTCTTCAGCCCTTCTTCTAAAGGACACTTGCTCTTAATGTGACATGGATATTAATTAAAAGTGAGCAGTATACAGATTATAGGTTGTCATTATGATGATAAGATGGTGGATGACCACCATATTGTTTTCTTTCCTCTAAGATAGCAGCCTGGTATTCTGCATTGTCAGCTCATTAGGGTATGTCACTGGAAAATGCAAAATAGCCCAACTCTAGCATTATCAGCTTCTTTCAATTCCCTTAGTACAGAACATCAGAAGTGGAGTGTGCTAATCTTATTTCATCACTTAGGCAATGGAAGGTATTTTTTTTAAATTGGGCTCAGTCATAGGGGGCTGCTGAGCTGAACACTCCAGGCTCATTTTGGCAGAAGGCAGGTGTGTTATGTCAATCCAGCCTACTTCTACTTAATCCAGAGACAGACAAATCTGATACATGAAAATCCAAATTTGTGAGAAAAGATAAATTAGGGGATAATTATTCCCTTTGCAGAAGGACTCACTCCAGGGTTCCTTTAAATACATTTTAAAGGTACTCTGTGCATTTGTTGATTCAAATTACAGAAATTCAGTTGCTGCAGAATATTTCGGGAATCCAGCTATTTAATAAAGCAAAATACTAGAAGGATGGGTACTCAGAATCACCCATAGTCTTTGCCTGAAGTGATGTTGTAGAAAGAGTACTAATTTGTAATCTGGAGACCTGAGTTCAAATGTCAGTTCTGTTACTTATGACCTGTGTGACCTTAGACAAGTCAATTAATTTGTCAGAATCTGTTTCCTCATCTGTAAAATATGGTCATTAGACTTGATGGTACCTAAGCACCCCTCCCATGATCTTACTACTAGAGTGCAGGTGATGGTGGTAGAATATTTCTCTGGTTTAAGGGGACAATAAAGTTTTGTGAAGGGGGAGGGAGATGGGTAGACCTGGGACTATCAGGCATGTTTAGCCTCTAAGATCAAGGAATGCCGTTAACTTATTCTTTGATATTCAGGCTTCATTCACTCAAGAGAATCTGTTCCAGTCTCAGGGACTTCTGATGTCTGTTACTTAGAAGGGGAAATGTGGAGGTTATCAGGTTTTGCTTCCAGTTACTGGGGTCATCTACCAACTAAGGCGTTAGACTTAAATTCTAGGCAAAATTATGATCCCACATCCCAATAAAGCCTCAGTTACTTCATCTGCAAAATAGGGATCAGAAGTCACATTTTTTTTTTTAGCAACCCCAGTGGAATGCTGTGTGAGCTAAAAAGCTACAGTCTGTAGAATGCATGAGACCTCCTGAAAATGCATCCCATTAATAAAAAGGTCGTGTTTAGCCCCTCCTGTCAGCTTTGCTCCATTGGATTTGACTTGAACATGCTGTGAACAGACAATGTGGAGGTGGCTTTTTCTGCCTGAGAGCATGTGTCTATAAGCCAATGCTCCAGAGTTACTGGAGATGAATAGAGGGGTCAGTGCCTGCTCTTATGTTAATTAGCGATTAATCACTATAAGTAATAGATTAACAAGAAAGCCAATAAATTTATGAAATACATGAATCAGTTAATGAAAAGCCTAATGCAGTACCTTTGGCCTAGATCATTTCTGTTCTTCCTACCAGTCAGATTCAGGCACATTGCTGCCCATTCTCAGCCATGCCAGGAATTACAGGGGCACTCATTTTAGCTGAAAACTCAAAAAGCTGTTAAATGAGTTAATCTCCCACAGCTGAGTTGGGCAGAGCTGGTGAAAGAGACACAGTGCAAAAAGCTGGGAGAAGGATGCCAGAGACTGGACTCAATAAAAATGCCTCTTGTGGCTTAATAACGTGCAAATGCTGTCAGGAGGAATAGAGGCAAGGTGCAGAGATATCTGCCAATGTAGAAAAAGAGAACCAGCAACAGAGAAGATTAAAATGGTGACAGTGGATGGTGGTGAAGGGACTTTCTTCTCCCTGGGCTTTCCACACATAAGGAGAATGACTTCTTCCCTTTCTCTGGCTATTCAAACCCTACCTATCCTGCAAAACTCAGCTCATGCCCCACTTTCTTTGTGAAGGCTTCCGTAAGCTCCTTTTTCCAGACTTCAATGATGGCTCACTTCGGAGAAGTCATGTGTGCACATCTGCATGTGCATGTGTGTGTGTGTGTGTGTGTGTGTGTGTGTGTGTGTGTGTGTGTGGCAGGGGTAGAGGAAGGGGTGGTGTGATGTGTGTAGATTGGAGAACATCCCAGGGAGTATATATAGGGATAGCATAGGATACAAGTGGGCTATAAGAAGTGGTCAGGGCACAGGCCCATCCCTATGTGTACTCCATGGGATATCCTTCAATCCACACTCCAACACACACACACACACACACACACACACACACACACACACACACACACACACCCTACCCATTGGGGGTGGCTGCTGAGAGCAACCATAAGCATCAAGACAGGTCCTTGGGTACCTGAGACCCTCAAGGTTCTTGAGTCAATCCCTACATGCAGCCAAGGGGGGAGAGGACAAAAGAAGAATGTGTATTCCTTACACTGCTCATCCTAGCACTTACCATGCAGATGCCATGTATACCATGTATATCTCTTCTTGGACTACCATCTGGCTGATGGCAGGGACTGTGTCTTATAGAAACAATTTATTAAGTTCTTTATGCTTACACAAGGCTTTAAATGTATTATCTTATTTGGTCTTTACAACAACCTTCTGGTGCAGGTTGTATATCTTCTGGACTTACTGCATGAGAATGTGAAGGGCTATAGTGGAGAAAGGACTTGATTGGCTTTGTTGGGGAGAACCAGGAGGATGAGTGGGTAGCTGCAAAAAAGGCCATTTGATGTTTAATGTCAGGAAAATAAGTTCTAATAATTCCATTTAGAACTGTCTAAAATAGAATGGCATTACTTTAAAAATTTTTTAATTTATTTATTTTTAGTTTTCAGCATTCACTTTTATAAGATTTTGAGTTCTAAAATTTTCCCACTCTTTTCCTTCCCCCCTCCCCAGGGCGGTATGCAATCTGATATACGATATATGTACAATCATATTAAACATATTTCCACATTAACCACATTGTGAAAGAAGAATCAGAACTGAACGGAAAAATAACAAGAAAGAAAAAGCAACAGAAAAAAGAGCAAATAGTATGCTTCGATCTGCATTCAGACTCCATAGTTTGTCCTCTGGATATGAACAGCATTTTCCATCATGAGTCTTTTAGAATTCTCTTAGCTCATTGCATTGCTGAGAAGAGCTACATCTATCAAAGTTGGTCATAGCACAATGTTGCTGTTACTGTGTACAGTGTTCTCCTGGTTCTGCTCATTTCACTCAGCATCAGTTCAGGTAAGTCTTTCCAGGTTTTTCTAAAATCTGTCTGCTCACCATTTCTTATAGAACAATATTATTCCATTACATTCATATACCATGACTTGTTCGGTCATTCCCCAGTTGATGGACATCCCCTCAGTTTCCAATTCTTTGCCACCACAGAAAGAGCTACTATAAATACTTTTGTACAAATAGGTCCTTTTCCATTTTTTATGATTTCTTTTGGATACAGACCTAGTGGTGATATTGCTGGATCAAAGAGTATGCACAGCTTTATAGCCCTTTGGACATAGTAGAACAGGCCTCCTTTTTTTTTTTGTTTGTTTTTGTTTTTAGGCAATTGGGGTTAAGTGACTTGCCCAGGATCACACAGCTAGTAAGTGTCAAGTGTTTGGTCTGAGGCCGGATTTAAACTAAGGTCCTTCTGATTTCAAGGGCCATGCTCTATCCACTGTGCCACCTAGCTGCCCCTAGAACAGGCCTCCTTAAGAGGTGTCAGTTTCCCTCTCCTTGAGATCTTCAAGTGGAACCAGGGTAATCACTTATCTAGCATGTTATGATGATGATTCATTTGGGGTACAGCTCAGACCAGATTGCAAGAGGTCCCTTGCAATCCTCCAATTCTGTGATCTCTATTTTACAGATGAGGAAACTGAGACTCAGAGAAGTTTCCTGTTTCCTGAGATCACATAGCTAGCAAGTGGTAAGTTTATAACTCAAACCTGAGTCTTTTGATCCCAAGGACAGGCAATTCCTTCTGTTTCCCACAGAACGTAACACAGTGCTTGGTGTTCTTGGACACTTGGTGAAAATTTATTGGTTTATTGATACTGGTGTTCAGCCCTGCAAAAGTCCCATGGAAGAAGTAAGAAGTGGAGAAAATGAAGGCTAGATTTGCCCTGCTCACCTAATGAATCAGTCAGAGAGCCAGATGTGACTCTAATTTAAAGTCTTATGCTTCATTTCTTGATCTGAAAGGTTTTCACTTCCATGCTTCTCTTGCTCATGGGCCCATTTTCTCATGTGAACAAGAAATTTTCAATTGTCATCACATTAAGGTGCCTAATTCAAAGAAAATTCAAGTGTAAATTAAAATTGCCCTCTAGTTCTTTATTTAGGTTTTAGAAGTAGAACCTTGCTTTCAATTGAGTCTGCATTGTTGGAATAAGGCATTCCAAGTGGTAAAAGAGAATCTTTCTTTGGTAGTATAAAATAGAACATTCTATTATAAGGACATAAGATTAGTTCATAGCAGAAGCATAGTCTATCGAATGGAACCTGATATATGTATTCATAGATGTGTATGTGTTATGCGTATGTATGATATATTATATATTACATATGTGTACTGAGGATATCCCAAACATCTTAGTTCAGGTTTAAACTTTGATTGTATTTGTTTGTGTATATACATTTTCTTCTTCATTTTTCTTTTGTACTTCAATGGATTTGTGATGCATGTAGTCTATATAGATATCCTTTCAACAGTAGAGATTTCAATTTATCCGGATCTTCTCAGACTATGTGATTCTTGTCCATATTCTTAGATACTACACAGACTATCCACCCACTCTTCTAAAGGCCTTCCTTTGTCTTTTTTAGATTTTGT